TACATTTTATAACAAAATTTTCACTTTACCTTAAATGAAACAAGAGGAACTTCTTTTTCGAAGTGGGGAGGGCCGAAAGAAAGAAGAGGGAGGAGATGTTTCTTCAAAAACCGAGACGCATATATGTCTTGTCACCTATTCTTAACCGTATAATTTTACCCCTTAGCTTTTCTCCTCTATTTTTCCAGTTATGATTGTAGTTCCACCAGTTTAATAGCTCGATTAGCGCAGTGAGGGGCGAACGCCAACTCGCATTTGAACATAGAAATCTTTGGTTGGTTGGAGTTTTTTGTGTAATAAATCTGGGAATACGAACCAGTCAAATTTGCCAATTTGATCCTCATAAATGGCTGACGCACAGGCAACCAGCGCTGCAAGCTGCAGCGTTGCGGCCGCATACATCCTGCAAACAAACACACTGCACCGGCCGCAGCAATGTAAAACGAAGCTGACGATCCAGCAGCCAGTGCGACCACGCACCGTTTTCGCATGAACGCAGTGAGAAACTGCCTTATGACTATATAAACAATCAGACTTTCCGTCAGACCAGTGGCGTGCAGGATATCGCTGCATTCACACGAGAAAGTAAAATCCGATGGGCAAGGCATGTTGCATATCAATGAATGGAATGTGAGCGAAAAGATGGCGCACGTACGCTGTCGAAGTTGTAACACACTATGTCGCTGCATTAATCCTGGGCGCTTAAATGGGGCTTGCCTGATTCACAGTGTTACTTCCCCATTTATAAAGCTCCAGGTCAGTTGCTTTGAGCAATGCTGCTGCAGTTGCTGCTGCCAATTCAGATGTCCTCTGAACGGATAGCCAGAACAGCGATTCTTCCGAAAAAAAGCACTCGGCAAAAAAAGCACTGCTTTGCAGTCTCCTTAACTTGTGCTGCTGACCAGTAACAGCAGGGACGGGAACCAATACAAGCTGCCTTATTCCTCAATAGCTGGACACACACTAACCGTATTCATTAATCTGCAAAACCCGTACCCCCTCCCCCCAGCTCTGACTCTCTGAACTGCGTGAACAGGTCGATGTGAAATCACCGAAGAAGATATTTCAGAGGCATGGGATATCGATTTGCGCAGTGGGCCATGGCTTCGGCTTGAAGCATACCGTGGCTTTGTTTCCGGCGTAGCGTGTGGTTGTTTAGGGGCTGAGTGGTTGGATGGTTTGGTATGGGTTTTGTGTGGCTCTGTTCGGCTTTTGTCCTCTTCCTCATTTTAAAGCTGTGGCTGATTCTCTTGTACAAATAAATTTCGTTTTGTCTATTTTAACAGCACCAGAAACGGTGTACCGAGGAGGTGGTAGTTGTGGTGCTGAAGGGAGATGTACCTGTCACTTTGATGAGCCGAAACATTCCTGTTCATCCCCCGGTTTTTCAGTATATTTTTCGTATTATTTTTATGCATACATGGTTAATATCTCCATTTACCCGTGAATGTCGTTGTTGTTGAGATGCAGCCTAACTGCGGTGAGTCGTTGCGCGATGCTCAGCTATCGGATCAACCAGGGGTGCTTCTCACTAGGGGCTTCTGTTAACTTGCTGCATGAAAAGCAGCAAAATTCCGCGCCTTCCATGTTAGCTCACGTCCCGGCACGTCTCATTGGTCGATGATCAGTTTCAGGCCCTCCAGGCTAGCTGCATTTTGCCTTTCAACTAAAATTTTGAAATTTACGAGCTTTGTGTAACAGTGTATTGGGTGAGGCTGCCTTTGTGTGATCCGGAACAGAGGGGCTGTTTCTCTGATTCCAGTATTTCCCAGCCATCTGAGGAACTTCTGTCGCGTTCGAGCATTGCAGTACTACATAAAGGAGACTTTGTGAGACCAGGATAGCTTGCAGAGAGAACGCGCGTCGCGATGTCGCTGATAATTCCGGAGAAATTTCAACACATCCATCGTGTGATGAATACCAATATCGATGGCAATCGAAAAGTACCGTTTGCGCTCACTGCCATTAAGGTACTATCACTTTTCGTTGTTTCAGTTACGTGCTCTGTGATTGGCTGTTGTTTCATTGTCGCGTTTCTTCTCGCCACTGATGCTGCTGCTCCGCTTCCCTCTGTTTTGGGCCTCGCTCGTCCGTATGCTTTCAAATAGCTATTCAAGCGGAAGTATCGTTGAAGAGTGGGTATTTTATTTAGTATGATGTCGATCAGTGCATTACTCCCCTCTCCATCCCCCATCCTTCTGTCGGTGCATGAGAAGCATTCAGAATGACACTTTTAGCTTATTTTCAAGCAATTCTGCACAAAAAGAGAGCCACTAACAGTCTGACCGGCGAGTGGTCGCTTTTGGCGTGTGCTTCCCCCCAAGCCACTTCTGATTTCCCAGAGAGTGAGGGGAGTAGGGCTTTATTGATTGAAGTGGGCTTTCTGACCGGAGATGCTATAGGCACTTGAATCTACAGCTCCTGGTCGGTAGGGTGCTTCATCGTGGTGTAAGGATGGCGCTGTTCGTAGTGAGGTAACAGTGCTCTACATATAAAGAAAGGCTCGAAACGGCAAAAATTTGCACGTATTTCTACCAGGAGATGATAATTGGTTCGGGAGACGCATTGTGGCAGGATTTGCAACGGGCAATCCTGGTTAGAATATCGAAAAAAGTTGTTGCCTGCATAGCTGAAGAGCCATTCTG